CAGTCAATGCACTTTAAGTATATTCTGTGAAGCACTTTGAGATGTCTCGAAGATGTGATAAGGCGCTATATCAAATGCAAGGATTATTATAATTTTTTTCATATTGGGAGGGCATCTTAAAGTGCTTCATAGTGTAAAGTGTAGTGACTGTACTTTTGTGGGCAGGTACAGCAGCCAATTTGCACATAGAATTTCTCACAAACAGAGAAATTCTATATAATACATAATGCAATTTACACTTATATAGCATCTTTCATGAGGGGAGGCTATCCCAAAGTGCTTGACAATTCAGGCTGGGCACCAGAGTTGAGTATGGGAACTGAAGGGGGTGGAGACGAGAGGAAAGATGACCGAAAGTGTGGCCAAAGAGGTATGTTTTGAGGTGCACCTTACGATAAACCTACTTCTTGGCCAAATATCAAATATAGCTCATTTAAAGCACTCAGTACTAGGTACAGCATTCTGGTTACTGTATTGCTCATTTCCACACCTATCATGTTTTCCTTTTTCTTGACTTTCAAACCTATTATAACTTACAAATCTAGTTCTCAACCTTAACTGGAGTCAGCAATGTTAGTAATGCGAAAGAAAGAACTTGCTGTTCAATAGTACTTCTTAAGGCCAAAATATCTCCCAAGTGCCTCACAATAATTACTATTTTTATGGTTATTTTGTCCCACGACAATAATAATAATCCTTGCATTTGATGACTCAAACGGCTTCACAGAATATACTGCAAAGTGAATTGACTTTATATTTTGTGGGCGAAACACGGCAGCCAATTGTGCACAGCAGTGTCCCACAAAGAGTCGTGGATTAAATGAGCAAATTATTGTTATTTTTTAAGTGATCTGCCTAACAACCGGGTTCCTACTTACTGCTAGGTAAACAGAAATGTGTGGAGTAAGGAAACTTGCCCAACGTTTCACCCTCCCCAGGAATCAAACCGAGGTCCTCTCGCTTTGTGAGCAATCTAACCACGAAGCTACAGGACTCAATATCCATGAAGTGAATGACTAATTTATCTGGAGGATTGATTGTTGGTCAGGACACTGAGAGAAACTTCTTTTGCTTTTTGAATAATGTTTTGGGATTTTTGAGCAGGGGCAAAACCACGCTTGGTGCTGATTATTGGGAAAAGTCCATAAAATGTACCTGTTAGCTTCCGCGGGATCTCAGATACAGGGAGGATGGCCTTCTCCTGCAGGAGATCTTGAGCACTGGCAATTGTCACAGAAATACATGGAAGATTTATGCTCTCAATCAGCTAAATCTCTCCATTGTTATTTGCTCAGCTGATTGTCTAACACATGCAGAAACCATCACTATGTTTAAGTGTATCTAAACCAAACAGAGTTCCATGCATCCCACCAACAAGTGGAAATTCCAGAGATATTTATTGGAATGGAATGTGCACTGTCTCTTTGGAGGGATACATTTTCTTACCTAGTTCTGGACAGGATTTGGTGCAGGTTTCGCAAGAGCCAAGGAAGACTTGGGAACAGCAGAGCGTGAGTTGGGGTACTGCTGGAGCCTAACCAGCTCAAACAGTATAGTTTGTCATTGAAATCACTGTTTGGCAAGCTTTACCATTGCTTGTCTGGAGCTCGAGCATCAGCTGCTTACCTCTCTGCAAACCAATCAAGGTGGATTCCAAGCGCTAGATGTATGAACTCGTGTTCACGAATGTGAACTTCAGTTAACACCTTCCAGCAGCTGTCATCCAAGCCTCAGAGTTTCCTCATTAGCTATCTGGTGGACATCTGCATTCGGCTTGGTGGGAGTACCTTTACAGGACACCTTATGACGTGCCAGCCACAGTGATGTTCTCAAGGTCCAAGTCCAATGTCACGTCCCAGGCTTACTCAGCACCTGCTGCTCAATCCAGGTCCTCACGTAAGGGGTTTTGGCAAATAGATGCCTGCTGTGAAACCGCCTCCGCCTCCTGGGTGCTTAACAACAGTTCAGTGTAGGCCAGAGCCTTCCCTCCCTGTAGCTGCTTCCTGTGTTTGGACTTTACAAATGGGTCGGAAGAAGCCTCTCCCCAGCTCAGATCCATAAAGGAGGACTGTTTTTACACAGGTGTTATATGCCACCAGCTTGACCTGCATTGAGGCCCTGCTGTCCTTGAAGAGAACTGAGCATGACCATCTTCTCTGTGCAGTCTTTCAGGACAACAATTTGCATTTATATAGCACCCCTCACGCAGGGTAGCATCGCAGAGCACTAGGACAGTGTCCAGGCAAAAGTTGGTGTCCACCATGATCCCGAAGTACTGGTAAGAATCAACAAATGGGACTGATACCTTGTATATCTTCCAATCAATCCCTCCGTCTGGATCAGATATTTTGCAATGCAATACTCTTAAATTAATGATTTCAAAACTGATAAAGGACATTTTCCTACTTTGTAAAAATGCTATCCCCACCCACTAGAAAATGCACCCCAAATCAGAAAATGTTTGTTTCGACTTTGCCCCCCACACCCCTTCCAGCCCTCTGACTCCCACTGCGAGAAAATGCTGGACTTCCTCGAGTCCAAAATCGAGGGAATCCGCTCAGCTGCCACTGCCCTCCCAACTTCCACCCCCTCCCTACCCCCACACCACACAATTACCCATCCGACAATTATCCACCCCTCCTTCCACACCTTTGAACCTGTCACCCCCTCCTCTGTCTTCAACATGGTAACCTCCATAAAGTCCACCACCTGCTCCCTCGACCCCATTCCCACCTCTCTCCTTAAATCTCAGCTCCACCTCCTTGGCCCGTCGACATCATTAACCTCTCCCTGTCATCTGCACTGTTCCTTCCTTGCTCAAAACAGCCACCATCACCCCCACCCTGAAGAAATCTTCCCTCGACCTGTCACAGCTATCTAGCTACCGGCCCATCTCAAATCTACTTCTTCTATCCAAGGTTTTTGAGAGAGCCGTCGCCTCCCAGCTTCACTCTTTCCTCTCCTCACTCCCTCCATGAATCCCTCCAATAGGGTTTCTGTGCTGCCCACAGGATGGAAACTGCTCTGGTCAAGGGCACAAACGACATCCTAACCATGAGTGACCAGGGCTCCCTCTGCCTCCTCGTCCTCCTCAACCTCTCTGCCGCCTTTGACACCCATGAGTGACCAGGGCTCCCTCTGCCTCCTCGTCCTCCTCAACCTCTCTGCCGCCTTTGACACTGTGGACCACTCAATCCTCCTCCATCGCCTCTCCTCCCACCTCAACCTTCAAGGCTCTGTCCTTGACTGGTTCAGGTCCTACCTTTCACACTGCCTCCACTTTGTCACGGCAAACGGTTTCTCCTCCAGCCCCCGCACTGGTGTTCGGGTGTTCCTCAGGGCTCTGTCCTCGGTCCCCTCCTCTTCACCGTCTACATGCTCCCCCTTGGTGACGTCATCCACAGACATGGGGTAAATTTCCACATGTATGCAGATGATACCCAACTCTACCTCTCTGCCCCCACCCTGAACTCCAGGACTACTGGCGTCTTGACCGACTGCCTGTCCGACATCAAGTCCTGGACGAGGGCCAACTTTCTCCAACTCAATGTCAGCAAGACCGAGGCCCTCCTGATTGGCTCGCACCAATGTCTCCGCACCTCAGGCACTGGCAGCATCAGCCTCACACTCAACCTCACTAAGCCAGTCAGGAACCTGGGTGTCTTGTTTGACCCTGAACTGTCCTTTCTCCCCCACATCTGCATTATGACCGGCACTGCCTACCACCACCTCCGCAATATTGCCAGACTCCACCACTGCCTCACCCCTCAGGCTGCCAAAACCCTCACCCATGCATTCGTCACCTCAAGGCCTTCCCAACTCTTCCCTTCACAAGCTGCAGATCATCCAAAACTCTGCAGCTCGTGTACTCTCATACACCAGGCTCCGTGACCCCATCACTCCTACCCTCGTCCGACTCCATTGGCTCCCCATCCCCCAGAGGATCGAGTTCAAGATTCTCGTCCTCACCTTTAAGGCCTTCCATGGCCTTGCCCCCTCCTACCTCTCTGACCTGCTGACTCTCTACGAGCCTGCCCACTCCCTCCGTTCATCGGGCTCCAGCCTGTCCATGTCTCCCACCCGACCCGCCCTACCATTGGTGGCCGGGCTTTCAGCCTCTCTGCCCCCACACTCTGGAACTCCATCCTACGGTCTCTTCGCATCACTTCCTCCTTTGCCTCCTTCAAGGTTGGTCTCAAGAACTTTCTCTTCAACCATGCCTTTGGTCTCCCTACCACCGCTCTGCCTTCCCTCACCCCTACACCCCCCTTCCCCCATGCTCGGGCCCTGACACCTGACTGTTCAGCGCTTTGGGATGACCTCCCGACGTGAAAGGCGCTCTATAAATGTAATTTTGTTGTTGCTATGCTGAAAAATATCCCTCACTCCAAGGGAAGATTTCTGTCTAGCAGATATGTAGACCTAATTTTCACATCACAAGCTCTATCTCTCACCATTTACGCATGTAAATCTCATTTCATCTCTACGCACAATAGGAATACACTGCATAAGCAAAAGCACACACCAAGTCATCATTTTGCTCCTATAATTTCTTCTTTGCACTTATGTGACAGCTCCACAGACTGTGGAAAATGGGCCATCAACCTGAATGCTTGGTAGCGCCACACAGTCTCGTTGTATTGAGAAACCAGTATTTTACACATAAAAAAGCCCCAAATCAGTGCTATTTGCAGTAAAAGCAGAATTGCTATAAAAATTAATTCCACTTGACAATAGCAAGCGTTTTGATGTTGGGCTGCAAACTTTGATGCTAACCATGAACATTCACAAATCTTGCAATTGTTTATTCTTTGCTTGACCATGAAATCTTACTGAAATGACATAATTTAAGACCCTAGTTCTTTTAACCATTTATAATCAACATTAATCCCCTTCTTCAAACATCGTTAACTTACCTAATAGTCAAAGACACAGCTTTCTGGATACCACAAATGAATCAGTGACATTGCAGACCATTGCAAAAATGATGAAACAGCCTTTTATTCTAAGATGATATGTACAAGAAAACTGTCTTACATTTTTTTATATATACTGTGTAAAAGAGACGTTAAAAATTGATTGCACTGTGCTTACATTGTTTTATACATTGAGTAAAATTGTAATAAAGGCAATAAAAACAGGCATACAAGACATCAATAATTGTGCAGAGGTTTCACCCTCTCAGGAAACAGCTGGACAAAGAAAGATTGCGCCAAGCAAAATAGGCAGGTTTTCCCAGAATCACGAATGATACAATTTGTGTGCTGGACTGTTCCAAATTCACTCGCTCATAATCTGGAACTGCAGGCACTTAACTGTTCCAACCTTTTCCACATATTCTGCACAATTTAGGGAGGGACAAGCCCTGAAAGCAATTGTTTAAAGAAAAACTTTTCCAAACTCCCAGATGTACGTTACAATTATCACAGTAATAAAAGTGATCAAACATAAGTCACTTAATTTTTAATGTATTTTATACTTACACATACAACAAAATCATTTCCCCCTCTTTCTCAGATATCATTGTCTGTTACAGAACCACTCACACAGTATAAAACATTGAACAGGGTATTCACAAAATCCTGTTATCCACTTTTTTTTCTTACAAACATTTTTTATTTTCTGTTGCATAAGAGTCCAGTGTAACAAGGTCTGATATCAGTCACTTCCTCGTCACCCCATCCATGTTATAGAAGATGTCGCACCAAAAATAGGGACGGGTGATTATCTGCCATGAAAATGATGGCGCTCACACCAATCCTCTGGATATCTATATAGAGTTAAACACTTGTACTGAATACAATTAAGTACTTCTAAATACAATTATCATCATTATTCCACATGTTTCAGTTGTTGATCAGTGCACTGTATAAAAAACACATGGGGATAACAGGACGAGTGAACACACTGTATTGGAGCACTGGAAGCACCAACATGGTTTCTTACTTGACTTAACAGATGTACTTTTGCACCACAACCACAACTTGCACGAAAAACAGCTTTGCGATTTCCCTTCTTAACCTCACCTTGATCTGAGATGACTGTTTTGTGGGCAGGAGACTCAGTGGGGGTGGGGGGGGGTTCACACACCACAAATTGTGACTACAACAGCTTTGACTTAGCGTTCTACCACTAAAAAGTTTACTGGTTGTAAACGCAAATGAAATTAAAAAGATTGAAGCAGTAATAAATGCGGAGACATTGCGTTGTTTTAAATAACATACAGATATTACAGTGCAGAGCGCTGTGGTGCTGGTTATGTCTGACCTGTTCCATGATTTCCACTGATAAACAAAACCATCACAATAATACACACAAAATGTTTTCTACCCAGAACTACATTGGAATTTTAAAAAAAACAGTAACGGTTCCCTTCCCCCACCCTACCTCCCAATAACTCAGTCAGTCCTCAGTGAGGGACACTGACCAGGGAAGATCCATGGTTAATACCCAGTTAAATACCAAGTTAGCTGATCTCATCTGAAGCAGCAGGAAGGAGCAATACAATTTGTCTCAGCCCTGTGTTAAGGAAGAGGGCAAGTGTGAAAGAAATTAACCAGACCTCCTTCTGGAAGAAAAAAATGGCGTCAAACACCTTTGGGGGGAGAATATTGGTGGAGAAATAAATTGGTGAGAGAATCAAAACAAAAACACTGCCACATCCAAAAACATCCCAAGACACGGGTCACATTAAAATTGAGGTCGATGGACCGTGCAAAAATACCTTTTATTCGACGTTCACGTGATTTGTACTTATAAAATATGTCCAAAGTGGGGAAAAGTGTAACAGAGTTCCCTATATCCAACAATCACACCTTTTTAAAGCCAAATGTAACATTCATCTGCACTGCAGAGGGGAAATCAAACAGCATTGTCCTGTATATACACAATAACAGGGGACAGTAGCGGAAAGGGACAGTAGCGGAAAAAGTACAACTGTGAATTATCAACCATGAATCACACCATCTGGGGGAGAAGCAAATGACTGTAGACCTTGTGTTCTTCTACTTCCACCTGATTGTCAGAGTGAGAGGAGGTGTTTTGATATTCCTGTGTGTGAACTGTCGCAGGCAACAAGACAGACGGAGGCAGATTAAGGCCGGTGAGTCTCACCTCATCTCACATTACTGAAGGCACTGAAAAGAGAGACCATGGCTGGAGAAACTGCTAACATTTAGCGTTCTCCCTTGATTCTCAGAGAGACAAATTCAAGATTTTTTTTATTTGATTTGATTTTTTTAAAAAAGTGACCTCTTGCCATGTATTAGTTGAAAGTTTCTTACTGTGAGCTCAGGGAAAGAAAGGCCGCCCCTTGTCTTGCATTTGTAATCGGGACAGCCTGGCTACCTGAGAAGGGGATGGAGGGACGTCTTGCCTGTAGGGGCCTTTGGGAGGGTTGAAGCTGGGATCAGGGGCAGGATTGTAAGAGTCGTAGCTATTCCGGTCATCAGTGGGCTGCTCTTTCTGCCGTTGTTCCTCTTGGCGAAGCAGCTCCTGTGTTTCCATTAAAACCCGTGCATTAACTCCATATCCCAGGTAACCATTCCGGGAGCCCTGGTAACTGGAATATCTGGGATTGTCTTTTGCACTCTGGAACCCATCACCAGGCGCGTAGCCTTTATCCCACACGTCTTGGGATAAGGAACTGGAATTCCTTTTACTCTGCCTGCAGACAAAACAAACACAATGAAAGATTCATAGGCACAAACTTCTTGAGATTTCGCCCTCTGAAGGGGAAAAATGCTCAGATATTCATTATTTATAATGATCATTTTGCTGCTAAATTATGCATACATCATTATTGATAAATGTAATAATGGCATATTCACATATCACCTCATAAATCATACCGACATCCCCGTGGCTGTCACTTACTACTTCACAAGTTGCACAAAAAGAGCTGGGCACAGACTATAAAGGTTAGCTGATCGCTGCTTAAAAGCAGAAATTTCTGCCAACGTTAGCAACCCAGCATCACCATACATGGAACTCATATAGTCCAAACTGACACTCCAATGCAAGGCTAGGACGTGCTGTCCTTCGGATGAGATATTAACATGAGGCCCATCTGCCTCTTCAGGTGAACACTAAGTTCTATGGCACTATTCAAAAATGAAGGGAGTTTCCTTTAATGTCCTGGTCAACAACCCTCCAAATAAAATTTGTCGTTCATTCTGTCGGGTATAGCTGTACGCAAATTGACTGCCGTATTCACCCACAAAACATACAGTCACTCCACTTACAATCCTGCGAAGCGTTTAAGACATGCTCCAAACGTGAAAAAACTATGTAACATCCTCAGTCAACAGGTAAGCTTCAAAATGTGTTAGGAGCCAGAAGTCTCAGTTTATAATCTTTGCATTTGATCACGACATTGACATGTCCCAAAGCGCTTCACAGGACTTTCCTGTACAGTGCAGTGAATGTGTGTTTGTAGGCAACTTTGGTAGCTAATTTGTAATTTCTCCTTAGCCAATGTCTCACAGATAGCCTTAAGTGATTGACCAATTTTATCTGGGGAATTGTAGGCCAGGACACCAGGAGAAACTCTTCTCTTTTTGATCAGTGCCACAGGACTTTAACAGGCAGATAGGACCTTGATTTAACATTTCATTCAAAGGATGAACCTGACAATGCAATGCTCCCTCAGCACCAAGATGGAATGTCAGCCTAAACACTGAGTTCAAAGTCCTGAGTCCAGTAACCTTCTGATGCAGAGACAAGAGTGTTACCAACTGAGCCAGGCTGACAAATAGCAGCTTATCTGCAGGTTACTCATCACATCAACCCACGGTAACTCTTCTGGCTGACACTCCAAGCAAAGTGCTTTGAGACGATTTGACAATGTGATAAGACCCAATACCGCATATTGTATGCAACATTGAAGATCACTTTATAATATACTTCACCCACAAAATATACAGTCAATTCACTTTACAGTATATTCTTTACAGCTTTGAGACATCTTGAAGAAGTGATAAGGCACTAAATCAAATGCAAGAATTATCATTATTATCAGAAACTCTGTGTTCCTGAAGATCAATCACATCCTCACTGAAAGATTGATTTAACATTTCATTCAAAGGATGAACCTGACAATGCAATGCTCCCTCAGCACCAAGATGGAATGTCAGCCTAAACACCGAGTTCAAAGTCCTGAGTCTGAGGAATAAGATGTTTGAGTCATACATGTTTAGACAAAACACTGAGGCCGTTTTTTGGGTGAGAGTCACAATAGCTGATGAGCCCCACTATGTCACTTCATTGTTTAATGTTTTTTATGCAACCTCGCTCTTATTTAGTTTAATTTTGCTGTAACACTTAAATTCTTTTTGGAATGTAGTAAAGGGCTACCGAATAACCCTTGCGACCCATAAAAACAACTGAAAGTTATTTAAACAGAGGGAGATGAATTATCAACATGGAAAGCTATTCAATAACAGTCTAGCATGAAGACAGACAGATGGCAGAGTACTCCTGAACAGCACACCCTTTTTGACATGTTCTACCCTTGTGTATGTTTTGGGTTCATTTACACTTAGAAACAAGGGAAGAGAGGTTATATTTGTAGAGAGACTTGAAAATAATAATAATTCTTGCATTGGTGTAGAGCCTTATCATGTTGTCAAGTTGTCTGAAAGCACTTCGCAGGATACACTGTAAAATGGATTGACTGTGTATTTTGTGAGTGAAGCATGGCAGCCAGTTTGAGCACAACAGTGTTCCACAAGCAGCAATGGAATGAGTGACCAATTTTATTTGAAGATTGTTGGCCAGGACACCAGGAGAACTTTAACGGCTATCATGGGATCTTTAACGTCCACCTGAACATGGTGACGGGACATCTCACCCAAAGGCCAGCACCTCCAACAATGCAAACCTCTCCCTCCCCCCAGCACTGCATTGCACTACGGCCTCCTAATTATCCCTCTTGCGGCTCCACCATCGGTGGCTGTGCCTTCAGCCACTACGCCCCAAAATTCTGGAACTCTCTCCCCCGATCCCTCTGCCGTGCCCCCTCTCTCGCCACATTCAAATTCCACCTGAAGACCTTCCTTTTTGATCGTGCTTACAGTCACCTCCCCCCTTGGGTCGTTGTCAGACTCCGCCACTGTGAAACGCTCCAGGACGCTATCCGGCGTGAAGGGTGCTATATAAACCAAGTTGTTGTTGTTGGCTTGTATTTACGGGTACGGGGAAAGAGCAGGGAGATTGCATTGGAGTAGAGAACTGCTCTCGCATCAGCACAGACATTTTGGTTCAAATGGCCGTTTCCTGTGATTCTATTCATCCACATATAACAGTATAGAGTTCGGCCAACATTTTGAGAAATTGGTCAGCATATTGCACAACTTTAAACAAATATTTATTAAATTTATTTGTTTAAAAAAAGTGAACTCAATTCAAAGGAAGGCAAAGTTAGTTAACTTTCACCTCTCCTTTAAAAAAGTGCAGAATTTAATTGTGCTGTCAGTGGCTAACTTGTTAGATAAGAAACTAGACACCGGGAAAATAAAATTCCAGACCGCAAGCAAAATTCATTATTCAGAATGGTTAATGCGTAAACCTTTCTCGTACATTTTGTACACCAATTACTTTTATAGCTTCAGGTATGAAATTCAAATAGCTTGACCTGATAAAGTCACGTGCCCTGGTGTCCTTACCGTGGCAATGAGCTGTACTGCCGTTGTGCCTGTAGGAAGCTCTCCCTCTCCTCCTGTCTCTGTCGCTGCAGTTGAACCTCCACAGACACTGAGTGACGGCCACTTTGAGTGTAAGGGCTGGAGTTGGGCTGAAGAGGAATTATAAAACAAATCAATTAAGCATTTTTGAGTGGCGATTCTGCACTGACACACAAGCCAGATGAACATTGCACTCACCTTCAGCACGGAGGTTTGCAGAGCAAAAACATTGTTGGATATTCAAAAATATCTTATATTCCTGCTTCCAAATTATATTCTTTTTCTTACATTTTCATAAAATTCATGGGGCAAACATAATAATCCTTGTATTTGATATAGCACCTATCACATCAAGGAGGATATCTCAAAGTACTTCACAGGATTCACTGTGAAGTATTAGTAACTGTATTATATTAGGCCATTGCACAGAAATGTCCCACAAACACCACAAAGTGAACAACCAATTTTAGCTGGGAGATTGTTGGCCAGGACATAGGAAGAAACTCCCTTCACTTTGAATAGTGTGATGCATCTTTAAAGTCCACCTGAACAGGCTGATGGGACCTTGGTTCAGCATCTCATCTAAAGGATGGCATCTCCAACAATTCAGCGCTCCCCTAGTACTGCACTGGAGTGTCAGCCTTGGAATGTAGGAGTTCAAAGTCCCTACATGGGATTGAACCCGCAACCTTCTGACTTAGAGGCACGACTGAGCCAGGCGTTCCAAAGGTAAATGATGTCCATTTCCCACATGAGGGCAATATTAGGTACAGTGATTCCAGGTTAAACTGTTGATTGAACATGCTGCTGTGGGGAACCAGTGCTCATTTCCTGGATGTTTTATGGCCCTGTTGCTGGTTAATATTAATGTTAATATGAAAAGACGTGTGTAATAAAAAAGTACATGAACTCAATATTTAAAGTTCTGCAATTATCTCCTTAAATTTTTTGTTTGAATTGGATATTTTAAATCGCTATTATGGATCTGTTAATTGGGTTATTGCTCCTAAAGGTTATTGCTGGTTAATATTAAACTCAGTATTGCTGGTTCGTTCTAACAGACTGGAAGAAATAATAATACATCGGTTGTTCTACAAAATAAAATGTAAAGATGTTATTCAATAGGGGGTTTCCAATACAGATCATTATGTAACAAATATGTTGAAACATAAGTGGGAATCTGTCACCCAGGAGAATAACTAAGTTCAAAAATAAATCTGCAAGCACAGATTTATTTTTCCTTCTCTTGCAACACACATTCCTTGGAAGCATTCACCAACTGTACAAATATTGCGTAACAAGTAAGAGTCGATTATGGTTCCGAGATACCAGGGCATGAGCTGGAAATGAGCATTGCATTCTACACCAACAACAAATAACACTTGTATAGCGCCCTTCATGTCGGAAAGATGTCCCAGGGCACTGGACAATCGGGGGTTTTGGACCTGAGCTGAGAGTTGGGGTCAGAAGGGGAGGAGGGCAGGGGGAGGTGGGGGTGGGAGGGTGGCTGAAGGCAAGGTCAAAGAGGAAAGTCTTTAAACGGGACTTGAAAGAGGCAAGAGATGGGGTGAGGCGGAGTGATTGCGGGATAGAGTATAGCATACGGGATAGAGTACAGATAGATTCTACAGCACAAATGAGACAGGGCTGGTCCACCCAGGTACACAAGGATGTCAAAGATCCAAGAAATAAAAGGGTCAAGGGATACGGTGGGAATTGACACCAGAATGAATCACCAGAAAGTAAAGCACATGAATGAACAGAGGAAGGAGGAGAGGAGGAGAAGAGAGTCACGACTGGTGGGTGGGGGTGGGGGAGTGGTGGCTTGGGGAGATTGTAAAAAATCCTAAAGTTAAACACAGTCCTGGCACTGGTACAGGTGCATAAATATTCAAGCATTAAATCTCCAAATCTCTTTCGTCAGGAACATGAAAGCAAACCAAAGGTTACAAAAATTAGAATGCACTCAACTGTACTGAGGGCAAGCAGTTTTTATGGCTTAAGCCATCATTAGTTTTCATCAGGATTTCATTCAAACCTTAATTTTTTTAAATTAATCCTTTTCTGTGCATGAATCAGTTACATTCCACGCTGAAATTCAATAGCATTGGAGACATTCCTGATGATTGCACAGCTATTGTGAAGACAAACTGTTCTTGCAGGTTGTTTCAATGAACTTAAGTTCCCAAATTGGACAGAGTAGTAAGACCCCAATAGATGTGCCAATGGGAACATAAAAACTATGCAATCATCAGCCCTCTCTAAATACCCATACCCAAAAGCTTGAAAATCACAATGTGGACTTCAGTCGTTGAATTTATTGGTGAACTTTTTTAAGCTGATGTGGGAACTTGAACCATTATCTGGTCCCCAGCATTCTTTACTGCACCAGTGTGTACATTTCTATTTCCCAAACCAGCCACTCTCATGACCTTTCTCAGAGAGGTCACAGATGTTGTGCCCATTTCCTGTTGCCTTCGGAACCATATCTTTGCCTGAATGAATCTGGGTGTGAGATGTGGGATCCCTACATTTTTGGCAAAATGGAGAGAACTTAATTCTGTTGGGAAACACTTCTGGAGGTGAAAAGTTAGTCACTGCTTTACAGTGGATTCTCAACTTAACCACAGTCATCATGAAATTATAAACACTAAGGAGAGGGGAAGAGAGAAGAAAGGATCTTTTCAACAATCGTTAAACAGGAAAACACAGCAATAAGGGCGGCGGAGTAAATGGTGATGTGAGTTTGTTACTGTAGACAAGAGGATTGTTTATATTATTCTCAAACAACATGCAATCATTAGGCAAAAGGAAATACACATAACAGGCTTTTCACCAGACATGAGATAAGATTGAGAACAAGCTGCTTTTGCAAACTCATCGATTCTGACCAGGAGCTCAGAGAGAGAGAGGGAGAGGAACTCCCTTCAGTCAGAGTTGGGAATGATTCCTTTCATTTATATTTGCTGTTACCACTTGGCCTTGATCACTAGCTTGGAGGCTGCGATGTGAATCACACGCTTCTAGGAGGCAGTGCGCTGAACCTGAAATGATTCTATTCCTTAAGGTAGTAAGTGCCTCTCTCCTCAGGAATCCCCCTCTGTTCATTACAGGAAGCCATAAACCAAGGTTAGCCGTCTGTCTGAAGCTGTTATGAAATTAAGATACACAAGAGATTGCCCTTTGACCTTCAGTAGTTACGTCCCAAGTCTTTCAGAGTGCAACGGTTTCTCACAGCTCTGGTTATCCCTCCATTCACCCCCCTCCCCTCCATAAGATAAGCAGTGCTGCACAGGACAGAAAGCAGCTGATAAACAAGGCCCCCAATACTCGCAGAAGAAAGCAACACATGTTTATTTTCACACTGGAATCAAAAACCCAGACCGCAACAAGTAAAACACAGGTTTCAAACTTTAATCGGATTCTGTTAAAAGCTGAAATATTCAGAACTTACATTACAATCAACATTTTTTTAAAAAAGCACAAAGCTGGTGATGTGGTTGCAGTAAAGTTTGATCGGTGAAAGAAACCATCAAACACTTTGCAAAGGTCAATGGTTCTAACCCAGCAATAGGACAAAAAGAGTAACATATACAACCTCACAGTAATAATCTTTTCTCATCCTAAATATTTATCAACTCAGCACGTGTTAAATTTAACAACATATATTATGTGTACACACACATACACGCAAGTTCCCAGAGCATTCCTCACAACACAGCACATTGTCTGCAATAACTGGGAAGAAATGTTTAAAATCACTGGGTTCAATGGTTGTTTGAAATATTCAAATAGACAACAAAAGCACACAATTTTCTTTTAAGGTCAAATAAGTTTTGCTCTAATTACAGCAAACCCTCTATATAATGTCATTATCTGTGGAGTACAAAAAGCATGTTTCAGGGAGGATGTATTTTTTAAGATGTTTCCCTGTTAATGAGGAAACCATAAATAATGCAGTGTGTCAGAACGCATTACAGTGAGGAGGGGTGACTACTTATCTCTCATTCCCTGCATCTGAATCACTTGAAAGCGTATATGGAGGTTTAAGGACCTAACTGGTAGGGATTCATAAAAGGATTTACAGACATCAAATCCAGTATCTGGATATGTCTCCTCTAACCCACTGGAACTCCATTGGGACACCCGTCTCCCAATGGCCACCTCCTCCTTCAGTCACAACCTGACTCCGTTTTAGTCAGATACAAGTTTGGTGTCCGAACGGAGATAGGAGTTTGTTAGTTTGGAATCTTCCCACAAACCTCCTGTAAAGTGGATGCTGTGATTTCTCACTATTTGCTACCAGGCGCATGTTTACAAGGAACTCAATTTGGGGAGTGGAGTGGAACAGGGTGTGGGAGTGGTAGGAAAGAGGGGGAGGAAATCAGTGCACGCTATACCAGTGAATTAGATGGGTGGGGAGGGAGAATTGAAAGCAAAATTGCACACTTCGTGATAGCCATTTGAAATCGATATGGACAGTCAGTACACAATACACTAAATTCGCACTAAAGTATACGCGCCCCTATTTTACACCATCACAATGTTTGATGGGGGGCTGGAGTCCTGTCTGGCCAAAGTCGCAGATTCAGGTCCGTTTCTTTTTTAAAAAAGTGGCAGAAAGCAGCCAGGATACTACAGTAAGTAGTACTTACTACAGTAAGTAGTAAGGACTCCGTGGCTATCTTGAATTTGTGCTCAGCACTGAAATACTGGCCATAAATAGATATCTTCAAATCAGTGCACCCTCACTTCAAACAAGCATAACTTTGCACTCAATATTACACAACAGCTTTGTACAAGCCGTCCAGCTTTAGTTTTCAGGCCCATTAGATATGCCGGCTACAATGTAACAAAATAAAAACTATAGTCTATATAGAGAGTCTATATATATCACAGAGGCACTTGATGTCTTTTTCTCAACGACACGTCAGTTCATGTAACATTGTTTTTAAAAATAAAGCCCTTTTGTGACTGTCTGAGTTGAGCTACTAAAAAAACACACATCTGATGGGCTTTCAGTTCCACAGTTCCTCTGAAAACAAATTGCTACCAGTACAATATAAAAATACCACACTTGTAATGCATTAAGCTCCATGTTACTTTTCCCACACAGAGCTTCAGCCAAACACATGCTGGCCAGAAGAAGAATGGGTTAGTCCAGTCAATCAGGGGTTAGTCCAGTTAATCAGGGGGTGAGCAATAGGTTGCTTCCCCTCACAGAATGATGCCCAATGAAGCAATGACAGATATTGGTACGAGATGATATTAGCAATGATGCAACCACGGATGGAGACGAGTAGGGAGTTAGAAGTTAACAGGCCAAAGGCACTCGATTCCTCACTGCCTTTTTGTCCGCAGACCGAAGGATCAGTGTTTGAAGGTGCTGGTCTTAATCAAAGTTCACTGCCCTCGGTCCCCAACTGGACACAGTCTAAACACTCACCCAAGGCTGCTCAAAACTGTATGTGCGTCGCCGGTCCTCCAGCTCCTCTTGCTTGGCTTGTTGGAACTCGTGTCGTAGCTTTTGTATCCGATCGTGGTTGCTGGGAGCGAGTCTGTTACTGGAAAGGAAAAGGCAAGAATTAAAACCTACAAAACGTGAAGGAACTCAGGCACTCAGAGCTTAGTGTAGAGCCAATAAAATCCAACCAGTAGCTTGAACTTCACTTTTAATTTACTGTTGTTTAAATCATGCCATGTGACGAGAGGAACAGCTGGAGAAGGTTGGGGGAGGAGGCGGTGGTGATCACATTCTAGTTTCTTTCACTATAGTATAACTAACAAATTCACAGTTTAGAGGGAATTCACTTTTCTTGAAAAGGAGATCAGCTGCTGATAATTGACTTATCTGAATATCCCATTGCTAAAATATTGTGTGCATGTTGTGTGTGTGGGGGGCTGGGGAGGAAGAAATAAATGCGGTATGTGATGTGCTAATAGTGAAAGTGCTAACTATTATTAATAACTTGTGGTAACTGGTGATAACTACTAATAATACAGATAGCTATCACATTATATACTGCATTTTCATCTCACGTTTTTAATAAACACCCAACAGAATTTTGAACGAAAGCAACATCTCTTTATTGGAAAATAACAATGATTTCTTTGATATGGTCCCTTTCACATCAGGAAAACAACTAATTCAAAGGGCCTCACAAGATTTACTGCAAAGTGGAGTGACTGTGTATTTTGTAGGCAAATGAGAATAGACTGATTTTAATTAGCATTTGGCTATGAGATGTCCTTTCTTTCACCTGTAGAGGATCTCAGTTCAGTATTAAAAGGGCTTTTGTATCCTGTGCCCCACAAAAATCAATTGAGTAGATAAGTTAATCAATTTTAACTGAAACATCGATCATGGTCAGATTTAAAAGCAGATTAACCAATGTGGACCATCAACAAAACAAAATTCACACTTAAGGAGAGCGAGAAATTGAGAAAGAAGCTGCTTGGAGCAAAAGTGAATTTAAAAGTAGTTCCAGGAAGACTTTTAAAATTAATGATCACAAAACAATCCATCACTTTGCCTCTATACCTAGCACAGAAATTGATGAATTGTAAGTAAATAGTGGCTTTGATGTGCAGTTGCTTTGTGGTTTAGTCCGTGCCAGGCCAGACACCTCTCCTCAACCCTTACCAGGGTTTCATGGTTAGCTACGTTATGATGTGTTATGCAGTTTTTGCTGGTTGAACTCCAGCAGTACCCCAATGAACATTCCGGGGGCCCCAATCTTTGGCTCTTGCCACCCTGCATCTAATAGTATCTGGAATTAGACAAACAGGGTGCAACCCTCTGGGGAGAGAGTGTACATTCTGCTCCAGGTAGAGGAAATTTTCATGTGTAGGTGGCACACACATATGGATCCCTCAATCTGGTTTGGATATTCTTAAGCATGGTGATGAATTTCCACATGTGTCAGACACTAGGCTAGTCAAAAATGCTTGCCAGTCAAGATGGGCAAATCGCAGACAATGTTAACACTAACTGGCAACAACAACCAAACTTACAAAATAAGGAAGACAAAATGAGCCAAATTTGCACTTCAGCTTTCTAGCAAACCTCCTTTATACCTGAGTTGATGGACACAAACCGCCATATTGTAACAGTGACGTATATTAACTGGGTAACATTAACGATTAAAAATTACAGGAAAAATTGCAGTTGCTGACATTCAATCTGAATCAGTCATCAACAGAAATCATTTTCCAATAAAACGGCAGCTCTTGGACCACCTGAAACAAGATCTTTAAACACTAGGAATGCCATTTCCCGGTTTTCAGCTCTTTAATGAAGGGCGGAGGATTGAAACTGTGTTCTTCACATAAATAGATTATTATCGGTGCTCACATACTCCTGCATCAATTACAGCAAGTTCTGAGGACCCAAAAGGTCTGGAAATATCATTTGGTTTCAGCTTGATGGATGGGAAATAGCATCTTACACGTGTTACCATTAAAATCACAGAACATTCAGCGTCAGAGGAGACTGTTTGGCCCATTGAGCCTAAAATGGTGCTGGCTCACCCACAAGAGCTAACCACGCGAAACCCAATTTCCTGCTTGTTCTCCATACCCATTTATTGACTGAAAAATGTCCGATTCGGTTTACATCATCGCAATTTTACTTTGATTTTACTGCCAATGTTCTTTATTAATTCTTACATTTGCTATAGTGCTTTTCACATCAGGAACATGTCCCAAAGCACTTCATAGGAATTATTGTGAAGTTGAGAGACTGTATTTGTGGGTGAATGCAGCAGCCAATTTGCACACAGCAATGCCCCACAAACAGCAATGAAGGGAATGGCCAGTTTAATTTGGGGAATTGTTGTCGAGGACACAGGGAGAAACTTATTTTTGATTAGTGCCATGGGATCTTTAATGTCCACCTGAACAGGCAGACAAATCCTCGGTTTAATGACTCATCCATAGGACAATGCAACACACCAGCAGCGCTGCATTGGAGTGTCAGCTCAGAGAATGTGAGTTCAAGTCCTGATGTGAAGGCAGAGGAGAATCAGAGCCGGATTTAAGCGAATTTGGCTGTGAATTATGCCATTGACCTCCACAAAGTTCAGAAGCCGCTATGTCTGTTTTGCAATTGCCGCAATTTCTACCCCACTGTTCAAAGCTCCAGTTTCGAAGCTTCAGTTCAGAAATAAGAGCAGTGAGAGCCCTGCTTGTTTTCCTTCGAGGGAAGATCAGTGAGCAGCAGCAAGTTAATGTACTGACTTATGCTATTTTGGAATTCATCCAAGAAAAGTGAACAAATTCCCAAAGAGGCCATTTGAAAAAAGGACACCGGGCTCGTTAACACAAGGAAATGCTGTGGAACACCACAAGCTTACCCAGGAATTGGTTAACTCTTTACGGACTGAACATTTGTCACAGCAGTCAAGCAGTGTTAATTAATGTCATTAATGTCTCATCCACGCCTTCGTCACTTCCCTGCTGGACTGTTCCAACACCCCAATGTCCTCCTCACTGGTCTCCCCAGTTCCACAATGCACAAAACACAACTAATTCAGAACTCTGCCGCCCGGATTCTCACCCGCACAAAACTCCAGACCCCCATCACACTAGTCCTTCCAATGGCTACCAATTACTGAACGTATCGATTTCAAGATCATCTCACTCGTTTTCAAATCCTTTCATGCTCGAGCACCTCTCTACCTATCCGATTTGCTTATCCCCCCACTCCCCCACCCGCTACCTCCGCTCAGCTGGCTCCGGCCTCCTGTTGGTCCCTCGGCCCCTCCGCTCCACCATTGGTGGTCGTGCCTTCAGTCATTACACCCCAAAACTCTGGAACTCTCTCCCTCAATCCCTCAGCCTTGCCAGTCACCCTTGTTCTAAATGTAATCCAGGAGGACCAGGGCTGTTGACGTGAAGTGGTCATTCACTTCACAGCTGTTTGTGGGACATTGCTCTGTACCAATTGGCTGTGGTGCTGGCCTGCAAATACACAGTCACTACACCTTACAGTAAAATCCTGTGAAGTGCTTTGCGAAGTTTCAACAACATGGTAAGACACCATACAAAATACCAGGATTTTTACACCCTGCATATGGAATATTTATTTAATAAGAAAATTACTGAAGCAAGGTGGGGGAGGCAAGATTCATGTGAAAATCATACAGACTTCAAAGGGTTATTTATTGAAGGAAAATTAATATTAAGATTGCCTACTGGAATGTGAGATTACACACCTCCCAGTGCTTACGTGTCCAGTCTTCCGCCTGTTTGAAATTGCCTCCAACTGCGTGCTCACAGGGCATTAAAATGTATTTTAACGCTTCGCAGGAAAACAAATCAAACAACCCTCCCTCTCCCTACACTCGCCTCGTGCTTCTCAGTTTCCAAAAACCAACCACACTGAACATTTTAAGTAACTACATCTTAAGTAGTTTTTATCAGTTCCAGTCACCGTTGTTCTAAATGTAATCCAATTTACATTTATATGGGGCGCTTCATGTCAGGAGGGCATTTCAAAGTGCTTAAAGTGTAACAAAGTGTAATAGTGCATCTGTTACTCTCCAACCTACTATCCCCCTACCTACCTACCTGCCCGTACCCTCCGTTCCTCTGGCTCTGGTCTGCTCCACATCCCCCGCCCCAACCGCCCTACCATCGGTGGTCGGGCCTTCAGCCTCTCAGCCCCCAGGCTCTGGAACTCCATCCCCCAGTGCCTTCGCCGCCTCCTCCCTTTCCTCCCTCAAGGTCTCAAAACCTTTCTCTTTGACCGTGCCTTCAGCTCCCCTCTCGACTCTCTACCCCCTCCTCGCTCCCTCCCTTCCCTCACCCTGACCATTTCCCCCCTGCTCGGGTCATGACCCAACTGTGCAGCGCCTTGGGACGTCCTCCTGACGTGAAAGGCGCTTTATAAATGGAATCTTGTTGTTGTTGTTGTTGTTACTGTACATTCCATAATAATAATAATCCTTGCATTTGATATAGCGCTTTCCACGTCTTCTAGACGTCCCAAAGCGCTTCACAGAATATATTGTAAAGTGAATTGACTGTATATTTGTGGGCAATATCCCATAAGCAGTCATGCATTGAAAATGACCAATTTATTATTGTTTTGTTTTGGAGGGATTATTATTAGGCGTAATTCCATGTATCTAGTTCCTACAAAAAAGAACTTGCATTTTTAAAGCACTTTATCCAGTTGCACCATCTCAAAGTGCTGCACAAGTAATTACTGTCAAGTGGCTTGACTGTTTTTTCAGGCAACCAAGCAGCCATTTACACCAGGCAAGTCCCACAAACAGCCATAAGGTGAATGACCAATTAATCTGGAGGAATTTTGAAGTTTAGGAACTCCCTATTTTCAAAATGATGTTGTGGGGTCTTTGACGTCCACTGAACACGACTGTTTGCGGGACATTGTGTTTCGCCTAGAAAATACAGTCAATTCACTTTACAATATCCTCTGTGAAGCACTTTGAGACCCACTTGCAATCTGCAACCAATCATCAACACGAGCACTCGTCTTTTAGTGTTCAGCTACTGCACCCCTAACCTCTGGAACTCCCTCCCTCTAGCCCTCTGTCTT